TCAACATTCTCATTTCAGCATTTTAAACTAACTTTGTTTACTGAACTTATTCCTATTGTTTCCAATTGTTGCCAATTTGCCGAAACAACGTATAATTATGAATAATATCTAAAATAGCTAAAAATAGTCATTAACGTATATAACCTTTCAAATTAAGATAAAAAAATCATTTAAATTTTGTTCTTTTCATATAAATCTGTGTAAGCTTCCTCAAACGAACGATATTCGTTTTAATTTGACAAAAATGCTCATATCCTATGCGACTTAAAGCATGCGATTCTCAGCAGCTTTCATTAGAAATGACTTTTACAAAAAAAAAACTCTAATAATGATACACGTTTAGAGATACAACATCGTGCATTACACACCTGTTGTACTAACGTACCACGCTCATGAAGTCCAAGATGCTCTGTGAAACTAAAGTTGGTTCATAATGATGTAATCTCAAACTAGTTCATGTAATAATTTTCAATTGTGTCTCACATAAAACTGTGCATTCGCGCAGTATTCGTTGTAACCGTCATTAAACTGACAACGCGTAATTGCAAAGGGACACGTGTGCTCCCATTCACGAAATTCCCGAAATTAACGACACCCGAAGGTATGCGAAAAGTTTGGATGTTGCGGCACGATTCGCGTCCCGAAAATTTCTGCGGCGATGCGCCGTGACCGCGGAACTTTCGTTTTTGGCAAACAGCCAGGAACCACCCGCCGCACCGCTCGTCCAGACCTCTTATCACTACTCCTTCAATTAATCGATCGCAGCACGAAGCAGGAGTCGCAGGAAAGGAAGTAGTCTTCAATCAAGTACGAGAGAGGGAAAATTGGAAAGCGCTCAAGAAGTGAAGCATGTCGAGATTAGAGAATCGAAGATGATAGCCTATTAACAGTGAAGAAAACGGAAATCACACGAAACACATTTGTCTCTAGTATAAATATTTTCATTTCGAAATTATTTCAATGATATATCGCAAAAAAATAATACACGATATATTTCTGAAAAATACGTGCCGAATAATAATTTCAGACAGGTTTTATGGAGAACGTGAATTATGAAAAAAATTATAAAATATGTTTAGGAAATTAAAGATTGAAATATGGACAGAAAAAAGTACAGCTAAAAACTTCACTGATTCAACAAATCTACAATCATACAGATAGTCAGTTTTCTACGTAAAAGTAGATTTTTATATTAAAATCGACAGCTGAATAACATTAACGATTTATTAAACCATCAAATCTTCTTAATTATAGATGTTGAATTCGCGCAATAAATTATAGCTTTGCCATTCAATCTATTTGTCTCCGGGATGTATTTTACATGAACTATCTTAAAAACTCTGAAAAAAATTATTTATATTTTCTATTATTATATAAGCGCCGCTTATTCATCCTTTCTCTTATAATCATGACATCTATTTTAGTAGGCAACATTTGACAAGTATCTCGAATGCTTGTATTTACACAGAATGTACATGCGGGAAGTTAAGATCAATGCAACTCCAAGAGTGGTCTTGGCACTGCCACGAAGAACTCGACAATCTTCCCTCGACCAGCCATAAATCTGGTGTCCTTCGAGTACATCGTAACTCTTGCGGTGCGGTGGTGCGGTATAGGCCCGGAAATTCACGAACATTGTTGCAAATTTGGCGGATATAAGTTGCGTATCCTCCAGGCGAAGGGCACATCGCACGAACTTGCAACTTTTGCCATGCACGAGTATAAGTTGTGCTGACTACGTCAAGCGAAGAAACGTAACACGCAAACTTCTAATTAAACGGAAGACCAAACTCATGTAGTAAGTAATTATTACAATTTTCAAGCGATAAATATGTATTGTTAGCTATAAGTTTCGCTATCATACCATGTTAAATAGGTAAATAGTTATGTTAAAAATAATTCATTCTAATCATTATAATGAATAATTCATTCATTCAAATTTTGCACGATTATTTGAATGATATAATTCAAATATTTATTTTACATGATTATTTGATTATCAGAACGTTACAAAAAGAAGTTTTAATAATTAATAATTTTCAAATATAAATTAATATCTAACATTTTAGAATTTAATCGCGTATATTATTGAACAAGTCTTGATAAGTAACGTTAATAAATAATTAACATTAATTAATAAATAAATAAAAAGTATTTTCTACTAAAGAAAAAATGTATTTTTACACATAAAAAGCAATATATATGCTTTCAGTTCATATTTTATTTTAAAAGCAATTGGAAGCTTTCTCGATGTCATCTCAACTAACTTGCAACTTAATTATTATTGAAATCTATTAAATATTTAATATAATTTCCTCCAGAGAAAACGTGGGTTATTCACGTGCATTACTCCGCATGACCTAATTTCGTAGAAATCTTGCTACATAAAAATATTATGTCTATTATAAAAAAGACGTCTAAATTGTTACAATAAGAGAACTCTTCAATTATATTCCCATTTATTTTTAAATAACTTGGCAAGTTCGACGGATGAGTTCGCTCTCGCTGGCAAATGAACGTAGAATATTGATTACTCTTCTCTATTAGCGTGTCCTCCCACGAGAGTATATGCGATAGCATGCATCGTACTATATTGAAGAATCGAAACTGCAGCGCGGAGAGATAGAAACTGTCCGAAATTAGTAGCCGTATTATTCCACAATAATATACCCTATTCCCTTGTTGTTGCTCGCAACAGCGTCGCGTGCACGTCGACAGGATTTGATTATTAGCAACAATTCCTGCAATGTTCGAATAATAGTTAGGGAATTAATTAAATAAATTATCCAATCACATCGCAAAGACTTGGCACGAAATACCTTTGCACGGTAACAATCAGAGTTAATATAGGGTATTTGAGAGTCAACTGTAAGTAACGTAAAATCGATACGCCGTATTTGAAAGTCACTGGGAGAAATTGTTTAAATAAAAGGAAGATACGAGGTTAAGAATGTTCTAGCTAAAGGAACTCTTTTTCTTCTTTTCTGGATAAGATATGGCTTTTCGATAGTGCTACTTCCGTTTTCAAGACATTTGATCTAAGTCGCTTTAGGAAGACGCTTGTACATGAATCAGTACACCTTGTATCTTCCAATCTTCTCGCGTGCACATCTTTGCGTTGTAATGTATTCTAGGAGTAATCGTGATTCATCGACGATAACTTCATCGATTGATCGAACAAATGTCAATGCGCGTCGTTAGAGTAATATTTGAATGGAATGTGCTTGTGATTTACGTAGGGAAGTTTTCCTGTGGCAGCGATAACTTAACGTATTCCTGATACCCTCCTGCTTTCTGGCTTGCATATACATATGCATTCGATGTCACGCGATATGAAAGTACGCTTCTTTGGCAAAGTGCCAAATCGATGCTGCCACGCCTCTCTCTCCCTCTCTCTCTCTCTCTCTCTCTCTCTCTCTCTCTATTTTTCTCTTTCTCTCTGTTTCTGTCAGAAACCGATTTCTTCGGTGAAGCTAGAACGTCGTCATTCGAGTACAGAAGTTTCCCCTTCAGCTTGAATAAAGACGTTCTCTATTTTGAAACTATATATGATAAATATCTGCTGATATTACATTATAAAAGCGTTTTGCTGATACATCTGATATTATCTGTAACAATCAAGTGTACAAAACTGCTTTGTTACAACAAAAGATATTCTGTCTATGGTGGAGACTTTTAATAGTGGAAATAATAAAATTTCAAAAAAAAAAAAATTGTATAATTTAAAAAAAAAATTGTATAATTTTTTTATAATTACATATATTCTCTTATATTCTTTTATAAATCTTGTATAATTCTTTTATAATTAATTTTTCTTTTCAAAAAAATTATATAATAACATTTGTAAAACATAAATAATATCTTTGTAAAACCAATGACTTTCTCAAATCTTTTAAACAGATTCGTTAAAAATAATTTTATAAAAATACAGTCGAAGAATTTAAAAACTTGTACAACACGAAGTTTCATTAAATTACCCACAGTTCGTTTCATTCGAACACTTTCAGATATTTTTTTCAAAGTACGTGGGCGTCTACTGATTACGAATACATAACCAGGTTGTTGAATTTCAAATTATCACTTGTCGCAGCCCAGACAGTGACGGCATTCAGTCGTGGGACGTACGATTAGAAAAACAATATCGCGCAGTTGCCGCTAGAGAGAAACCTTTATTGTTCCAGCTAGCTTGACCAGAATTTCTCAGTGGCGATTAGCATTAAATGTTCGCAGAAAAGTGTCTTTGCGGCAGAACTTCGTTTAACCATGTCACGGACGAGTAACCCGGCAGAAGTCCTAGAGAAACAGTCAAGCAGCAACTATCACTGGTATGACAAGATTCCGGCGTCTGTCTCCGATATGCGCAACTTGTTAAACAAGAGAATGTTCAAAGTCTGCTTTTGGGACGAGCACAAAACGACCAAGTGACACGCTATTTTCAGAGACGTGCCGTGTGTAACCAAAAATAATGAAATTCTGCATTATTTGAAATTGCTAATAGTTGTATACGTTTAATTACAGCTAACTGCTAAAATATGTCAAGCTGTGTATGCAATTATATATATGTGTATATGTATTACTATGACATGAGCTTTGAAATGCTTAATTAACTCATTTTCATATTAAACATTTACTTCTAGTAATGTCTATACATATAGTCAAAAGTAAATATTAGTTTATTAACAACAAGCATTCATATGATGCGATGAACAAGTTGCAGCGTGAAGGAACAAATTTCGCTCGGCTGCACTCTTATGAAAATTGACTGAGCGATTTATGACGGGCGAGAGGACACGCGATAATCGAAAAGTTCGCTCAATCGCAACACTCTGCACTCTGACGAAATTCACGGACGCAATAGGAGCATTTAGAATCTGGAAAAGGGAATGACTTTTCCCAGAAGGTCTCTAGTAATACTGTACGTTCCTAAACCACACACATACATGCGCTAAACCAGTGCATCTTTCGACGTAGGTGTATGCCAACATAACTCCTAAGCATACCTGAATTCACGCGCGTGTATGTGTGCACCGAGTGTTTATAGATACGTGCACACAGGGCGAGTGTATATAGGGTAGAAAGCTGGGGCACGGTGGTAACGTCCCGGAAGCCAGGATCGATATCCAGACACGCCATCACCACCCTCGACTCTCCCTCTTCTCTTGTCTCCCTCTCCTTCTCGCTCTTCTACCCTTCATTCTCCATCCTAGAAACTCTCGTCTGTTTATTTTTCCTTTCTGCCGTTTACCCCACCGTCAGGAGGGTTAATGGACCCACTGGGATGTCTTCGACGATGCGAACGGACTCGCCGCTCGTGAGAATCAGATTTTTCCTTCCGCTGCATGTAGCGGAAGCGTCCTTTTACTTCCGCGACCACGCCAAGAAAACATAATGAACCTGTGTTCGATGGAACAATACATAAGAATTTGAGCCTTCGACAAAGTGACGATCAACTCCTAATGCAACCTAAATTCATTCAAGAAATATATTGAGGAAAATAGATACAAAATTAACTATATAATTAAAGAATAAATGATATTATCTATACTATTATAATAAAATTACATTTATTATAGTGAGAAATTACATTTATTAGTGAGATTGCAATAGCGATACGCTGTTTCATATATTTAAAATAATTTGCTAGCTTCCATTTTAATTACTGCAAAATTTGCTCAACTCTTTTATTTATTTATAAATTCTTCTTGCAAAGTAAACAAAAAATTATTTATAAACAATTTTATAAACTTTATAAATTTATGACTAACTTTATAAACTCTTGTAAAATTATTATTTATTATTGACTAACTTTTTCGAGGTAGTATCAATTTTTCTTTATTCTTATTCTGCATATGTATATTATCTATGTCAATGCAATTAAATTCAATTTTTCACAAATATATTATACATATATTTTTTAGCTTCGTTTTAACGTTATATTGAAACTAATATATATTTGTGTTGATAAAAAATTATTACAAAAATATAAAATTTAAAATATTGTATTTCAAAACCAGTACGAACAATCGCATTTTCGATCAGTTAAAGTACCCACTCTGGATTTTTATAACGTCATAAACTATCCTGTATAACACAAGGTACGGCTGGAAGGAAACAAAGGAAGTCAAGGGTGAAGCAGATAATAGCGCCTGCCCCTTTTTCAAACGAACTCGAAGTACTCCGTAAATTGGATTTAACCAACTGCATTGTGAATTGCCTTGCAATCGATTTTGGGTCCGAACAACGGCAAATGCACTATTTTCTCTACGTTCTATTCAGGCTAAGAAATCACCACGCAAAAACTGATATTGGTATTTTTAATAATGGCTCTTTTTTTCACTCTCTATTTTAATCAGAATAAAATTGCAGTATATTTAATTTAAAATAAATCTACGCTTTTGCAGACTAATATTAAAATAGTAGTATATTATTATAGCGCTGCACTTTCAATTATAATATATTAAAAATTTTACGCGTGGGTATATCTTTATGCATTCTATTATATTAACGATATTTTGGAAAACTCAAAAGAAAATTCTTTTATATCCATCCATTTGTTTTATACTGAATTAATTAAAATTCGTTTCACAATTAATTTCCGTGTGTAAAAGATACTACAATATAAATTCTTTCTGCATCACAAAAATCCTTCTGCATGGAGTATAACACGTCGTATAGTAAATTTCCGGAGAAATAAAACACGGAAGGCATATAATGGATCTGATAATAAAAATAACGTAAGACTAATGTAAAAGATGATCAGATAACGTCGACGAAAGTAATCACGATAATACCACACAATAATTCATAATGCCGTTATGGAGGAGGAATGTTGAATGAAGTAGTTAATAGTTCATAGATAATCATTACTCAGGTACATAATGCAACGAAAATTTTTGTTTATGACTTTGTTTATAAATTACTAAAGTGTATAAAACGCAAGTTGTACATCTTTGAGAATCATGTTAAAAAATGGCTATAACTTTACAACCTTAACTCGTAAGCGTGAAAGATCGTTCCTCAGGGGAAGCGCTAAGTTTGGCGGAAATTCAATCTTCTCGTCGAAACGCGAAGCAATACCAGTTCCGAGTACCAGACTTCGCGATCTAAACGATCAAGTATTCATTTCCAATTACGTTCTCGAAACAAGATGTTACAAGTGTATAGTGGGTCGTAAAGTATAGTCTACATATGCGTAAACATACTCCATACAATGAATGCGCAATCCGCTTGGCAAATTCAATTACAATCTGAGGTACGTACAACTGGTGATTATTATCACTTATAGTCGGTCTGAGAAGTACGCGATTTATTATTGTCATTATATTATTATTACATTCAATTAAAATATAAAATTACTAAAATAAATTTGCATTATGATTCACACAAAACAAATTTTATTTAAATATAATACATTAATTCATATTTAATTCAAAGTTTATTATTATTTTTAAATACTTATTAATAAATCGTTCTCATTCAATTTGCTTGATAAAATATATTCTTTAGTTGTCTATATGTTCATCATCAAAAGGATTGATTATATTTTTCATATTTGATATTCGGTTATATTTATCTATCAAATATGATGAAACATTAATACATTTTTAATATTTTCTTTTTAAAAAAATAATTTTGGTATTAAATTCTAATCGATTAAAAACGTAAATTGACAGCCTATAAATGTTAACAAAAATCATGACAAATGCTTCAGTTAATTAGGTTGTTAGAATTTCAAGAGATACAACAAAGATTCACTTGAGTGAATTTTAAATTAGCATAGATACTCGTTTAACTCGATATTGAAAGAAACAATGGATTTGTATGATATTGTAAATTGAAATTGGTTCTCTAATTTGATATGGAATATTTTGGAATCGTTTATCACAAAATTCGGAAGAAATAATCGCGTTTTCCACTTATAAAAATATTTCTACCACACGTACATTCAGACAGATCGACGGTAATTTGAAAGCGAGCAAAAATAATTACGTCGCTGCAAAATTCATGCGCTGGCGTTATGCGGGTGGATACAACTCTCGGAAACGTCCGCCGCGCACGCACCCTTGCATATTAAATTCCTCTCTGCAAAACCCGCGTATCGTTAACAACGCCGATTCTTTGTCCAAATTAACGAACGCTTATCTGCATTGCGCTCAAAAAACTACCTCCGTCTGCGTGAGCAGTTCTTTCATTTAACGCAAATAAGCTTACTATTTAATTTTGAATATCAAAAAATATATTATAACAAAAACAAGTCTAAATTAAATTTAACACAAATCAAAATAAATGCTATTTGTTAGCGATTTTAACGAAAAATATTTAGAGATAAAATCAATAAAGTTTATTCATTAAAAATAAACATCATTGCATTAAGAATATATTCGATCGAATGTAGTTCAAGTCGAATCTACTATTATAAAAAATGCACGATGTAAAAAATATATGCAGCTCCAGAAAAATAGAGTAAAAAAATTTTTTTTTTCGAAATTCGAAAAAAATAATTTATTGAAGTAAAAAAAATCAGAAAAAGAACTGTAAGGTAACAGAATGTCAATTTAATTCCTGTCACTGCGCTTAGTATTTATTGAAATCTTTATATTTCTATAAATTTCACGAGGATAAAAGAAAGGCAGAATTACGGATTAACGGAATGCGACGGATAAATCACTGGGGCGATCTTCTTGACTGCGATGACGTCAAGTTTTTATCGGGTCAGCTACTCACGAATCGCGGTTTATGCGAAGCACGAGCCGCGATACGTTCGTACAGTACACGGGAGCGAGAAGCCGACGTTGGAGAAACACAGTGCGGGGGTGAGTTAAGGGAATGCACAAAGCCGCTTCTGTCGAGAGGGAATAGAGGCGTTCTCTGTGCTTTCAGACATCGCAGCATTATGCATCGCGTGCACGACAGACCGACAGACCGTCTACTACTAGCAGGACCGTTTGGATCCCGGACCCCGAGACGATTCCCTTCCTCGAACATTCGCCGACTCTTTCGCGGTGTGTACATGGACTCGAATATCTCAGAGAGAAGGATTTACGAGTAGCTCTCTTCGCGTTACGATGAAAACACTGCGTGCAATCGCCTTATCCAGAAAAATAGATCTTTCGGCAGGATTCACAAGGATCATTCACGAGAAAAAGCGAGGCTTTTCTCGTATTGAAGATGGTACGTATAAGCACCGTTACGTTTACATTGAGAACCATACAACACACGTGAATACTAAATTCGGGATAAACTCGACACACCTCGTTGGCCTCAGCTTCGTGACGCTTGCTTGATTCGTGTTGATCTTATCCGTCACTTCTCATTTGCAACAATTGCTTAGTATACCCAATGTATTACGTAAAGATTTTCGGAGTCAGATATATATTTACCTCGAAAGTAATGCTCTGCAGTTTACTGAACAATCATTTCTGATATTTAGTAATAGTGGCCTAAAGGATTAACTTGGCGTGATCGTAACTCCATATAAAAAAATGTGCCATTTTATGCAAAACCTGCGCAGCTTGTTGCAAAAAGTATACGTTCATTATTTTAATCCTTAAGCGCGTTTAATTCACATAATTATTCACGTAAGATCATTACTTTTTATCGCCCCATTATTTGTTATTACGTTTACTAACACAGGAACTAAATTAAAAGCTGATAATCTTATATGAGCTCTAACTTAATATGACGTAATAAAAAAGCATTACACACTTATGACTTCGTGTTACTCGCATGTATTCAGAACAAACGGAGTTTATTACAATCATGTATGCGGTTATTTAGTTATTTAGTTATTTTGCTAATACAAAGCAATTGTAAAAATCAACGTGGTGCACGATGCGAGGCTTTCACACTCATATCTCATTAGGATTATGAAAACGTCGTATAGTTTCAACAAATATTTGGCATAAATATTTTTGCTGGGCGATGTGAACTTTCAGAAATTGCCAACAGCGTCACGAAGCGAAGAAATAAGCGACGTGCGCAATATAGCTGAAAACTCACAACCGATTTTATCGATATGCTCCGAGCAGGAAATTGAGCCAATTCATGTGAGTTCAACTAATCTCGCCTTCGTGAGGAAGAATCCGAAGCGTCTATTTTCTCTTATCCACGTACATGCGCAAACCAGTTAACACGGGCGGGAAAGAAGGTACTTTGTTTTAAGGATCTATTACACGGTCTAGCTTACACGCCATTACACGCTATGTTTTACATGGCCATCCTGCGAAGTAGACGATACTTACTCACGGTTGCCTCGAATAACAGCTTTAAAAAGAAAGCAAAACGTGGCCGAAACAGAAGCACACACGTAAAAATTCAATTTATTTTTCATAGCTCGTAAGTAAGTTTCGAACAGAAGAGAACAGCGAGTTTCTTAAAGGAAGAATAGT